GAGAGAGGAAGATTGAAACCCAAAAAAAAAGATGTAAACCCTAGAGAGACCTCTTGAGACTTCCTCAGAGAGAAAAACCCTAACCCGAACCCTAAGCCTGAAAACCTTAGATCTCTAGGGCACAACAACCCTAGTCTTAAACCATACTTAGGGCACAATAACCTTTTGAAACCAGAGATCTACTGCTCAACATCCAAATCAAAGAGGCAAAGAGGATGCTGGTTTTGATACGGGCGAGCCCTCGAAGGTTTGGGAGTCCCGGGCCATCCGGCTCGGTTTGGTATTGTTTCCTTCCCTTTTCTTTCTACTTCTTTTACAATTTTGATTTATTTTGATTAGTTTGCTTTGAACTTGTGTTTTCAATATCTTGGATCATGCTGGCTCTACCACAGATCTAAGAGTAGATCTGCTCGTTTTCGGGCAGATCTGGCCTCAGATCTGAATTCAATTTGTCCCACCTTCCAGATCACATTCTTTTTCATCAGTTTAAGGTGTCAAGATCCGAGAGATCTTCATCAGAAGATCTGTCCAATTTTCATCGTAAACATGCATATTGAACTTTAAGTTTTTCTTGTCCTTCTACTGGACAATCCTTCCTAAACAACTTTACTCCCTTTTCAACAAGAGTAGACAACGGCTTATAATTTTCCATTTTAAGTCTTTTGAGAATAGAGTCAAGACATCTCTCTTAGCTCAAGCATAATGTTTTTTATTTTCTATCTCTAGTTTATTTTTATGCCTAGGACATAAGATGCTTCTCCCATATCCTTCTTCTCAAATCGAGAAGAAAGTAATGACTTAGTCTTATCAACCATTTCTAAGTCATTTCCAGTCATTAGGATATAATATATATATAATGAGAGTATTGTTAATTTATTCCCACTTTTCAAGGCATACATATCATGGCCCAATCTATTTACTTCATGTCTCATCTGTAGTTGCATAGGTAGGTCTTTTAAAGTTAGAGATTTTGCATTCAACCTAAATGCAATTGTTACCATCCTCCATGAAGGTGGAAGGCTATTTAAGATTGTGGAAACTGGCATGCGCTCAGGTACTTCATTCCCAACAATGGCCAAGTCCTTAGCCATAACAAGAATTTTGCTTATATGTTCCACTACATTATTACCGTCCTTCATCTTAAATGAGTTATATTCCTCTAATAGCAATTGGATGTGTGTTTTAGAGGTTGAGTCATATTTAGTTTTTATTGCCTCCAGTACACTTTATAATGTTTCATGATGCTCAAAAACCTTAATAAGGTCATCTTCTAAAATTTTTTCTAGCTTTTTATTTTTTTATTCAGTTGGTTTATCACCAACCACTGGTGGATATTCTCTTAGTACATATATTATTCTATCTTGGATGAGGAGATATTCCATCTTTCTCTTCCACATGCCAAAATTGTTTCCATTCAATTTTTCAACTTTAGAAAGTTCAACCATTACAGCTCTACATGCCATTTGCTAAGTTATATGTGAGCAACCTAATACTTTCTAAGTTCTAAAGAAGCTAAATAAACCACCAAAGTATTTGTTATATGGTCAATGCATGTACAGAGAGAGCTGCAAATATTTCATAAATAATATCAATTATTAAGTGATGCCTTAAAATTTTTTCGATGAAATAGGCAAGCTTCCAAATGCTACAATTATCAAAGATAATATAAATTCCCGTTTTATTTTATTTATTTGGGGTGCATGCGCAATATCATTGGTGTGTGAGCCCTTATAATAAAAGAGCAAAGATCAAGTATGTGATTAGACAAATCAATTTCTTTATCACACCAAGACAGTAAGTGCATTTAAATATCAACAATACTAAAAATGAGCAAAATAAATCTTCTATCTTTTTTTTTTTTAATATAAATATCAGCAATATATAAGACAACAAAAAATATATTCAGAGATGCGATATATGCTCAGAGTGATTGTATCTCTATAACAGATAATCCACCAAAAGTTAATTACTTTCGCAAATTGAAAGATACGGCTGCTATTCATCGTTTTATATCTTTCTGTAATTATAAGCAATCTCTTAAATTAAGATATATATGCTATTAATATAATATATATATCCAATATTTTGTTACCAACTAGGCTAGTAGAAACAAAAAAAATATTAACAGACGAAACCAGAGTAACCTGTTAAAAAAAAATGATGGAAACAAGAACCTAAGGGTTTTTTTGGCGCATGAATTATAGACACAGTGCAAAGGTTGGACCAATAGAAACAGTTGTCAATTTTCAAATTGCAACTCTCAAGCCAAGGGGCATGCCCAAGTAAACTTTCTCTCAAATCAAGGGGCACACCCAAGTAAACTCTCTCTCTAACCAAGGAGCACGTCCAAGTAATATCTCTCAAGCCAATGAGCATGCCCAAGTAATCTCTCTCTCAGGCCAAGTAAGCCAAGGGGCACGCCTAAGTAATCTTTCTCTCAAGCCAAGGGGCACACCTAAGTAATCTTTCTTTCAAGCCAAGGGGCACGTGATAGGCACACAATAGACCACTTGGGGATGTTACGAGGCTAGCGTACTGATGATGTAATGTGGTGGACCTACTTTTAGATAAACACACATCAAGGTTAAAAAAAACTTATATAAAAGTTTTTCTCAGAGACTTGATTTGTGGCCTTGATAGGATAAGTTTTAGCAACAAGCAAAGAAAACAAACTATACAAATAAAAACAAGGATATTATCGATCAAGAAAGAAACCTTATCGTGAGCATGGATGGTCATGAATTTTGGATTCATATCTTCCTATTTAATTTTACATTTATTAACTAGAAAATAAAATTAAATATCAAAGGTCAAATAAGGAACCTGATCGCTCTGATACCAGTATTAGTCAAAATAGATGGCGCAAATGGAATCAAACTCGAGATCAGAGAGGAGTCCCGTAAGGCTGGTGATAGCAGAGCTCGAATTTTTTATCCCTTCACTTTTTAGAGAGAGAGAAGAAATATACGCAATTATTGGTCAAAAAAAAAGAAGAAGAATTGTACGCAATTGTACACCTTTTCTTTGTTGTTCACATCCACTCTCTGGCTTTCCATTTTATAGGGAGAAGAAGGGGTAACCATTGTATTTCTCCAACGAGTTTTTGAGAAAAACGAGGGGTTCCCTGATCTTCAACGAGTCTATGAGAAAAACGGGGGTTCCCTGATCTCCAACGGGTCTTTGAGAAAAACGAGGGATTCCCTAATCTCAGGGATATCCAACGTTCATTTGGATGTTGGACCATATGACCGTTGAATATATTGGAATTCCACAAATGTAGGCTTAGACACGTAAGGCCTCATAGCCATATGGGTCAACATTTACTCCATGGGCGAACCAGCCCATTTTATAGGATAGTTTAGGACAAACATATCTTGGTTGTCAAGAATACCTTGTAGCCTTGTTTTTAAACAAGATTTGTTAGACGGCGAGAATGTTCTGACACTTAAAGAGTATCAGACTGGACTCGATTTTAAATTATTTTTACAGGACAAGGCCGGCACGACATTTGAAATGCTAGTCCAACCACCTCGTTTTTTAACTTTTTACAAAGGACATGGCCAATCTGGCACTGCATGTACCAGACCGGTCTCAATTGCAAATAGAAGCCAATTAGACCCTCCATGTGATGGACCTTCTTTTAATGTAAAACTGAAACCGGCCCAATACATGGAGTGCAAGTCCAACTTCAATTATATACCACAAGCCACTTCGCCACTCCATGTGCCAAACCAGCTTCTAAGGTAAAATAGACCATATTTAATTATACCAATGAAGTTATAAGGCATTCTTGATGAATCTAAATTACCCTAAATTCTTTCTCAGCCAACGGCCGCATAAAAATGTAAATTTGTTACTAGTGTGATTTAGAAAAGTGCTGGGTCCTATGCCTAAAACGTATGGCACATTGGGTCTACTTAATTTTCCCTTGTTCTAATTTAAAAAGGCCGAGATGGAAACATCTCGACAACTAAAAGGACATATATAAAGGCAAAAGCATCCAATGCACAAGAAGCATATACACCTAGAGGGGAACTAATAAGATTGACCCTAAACACCTAAGAGAAAAGGGCCCCTATTTGCTTCGGATGAAGAAAAGGAATAATATTTTGAGATTGACCTGAATGCTCATTTAGAGGCCCTCATTTGCTCAATGGGACAAAAAAGGGGGGGGGGGGGGGGGGCAAAATAACCTGGATCGAGAAATAAAGAGCCACAATATTTGCTTGAAGAAACCCTATAAATGAAGGTAAAAGTGGGGGTGGCAATGGATCTGACCAGGCCCGACAAGAAGACCCGACCTCAGGTATGGGTTCAAATTTTAGACTTGATTACTATTTGGGTTTGGGTCTAGTCGGACCTGACTCATACCAGTAGTCACAGTGGTATATGATGGCAATCATGTGCGCATGTGTTCATATTGTCTCAATATTGACAATATTTATAGTAGGGCTAGACTGCATTTCTACATATACGGTCCAGAAAGTGCAAAGCATCCATCTTAAAGATAGATGCAAGTAGGTGCTCCATCTAAAAACAATAAAAAACTAACAGTCCAAATGTTTTTTTATTAGAATTATTATTTTTAATTTCTAAATTTATTTATTTTTCATATTCAAAATTGGGTCTTTATAGTATTATTGGCAAAAAAAAAATAAAAAGAAAAAAAAGCTCACAAGAGTTATAGTCATAGGGTGACGAACCCGATGGGTAGACCCAAAATCCAAAAGGTGGACCCAAAGCCCAGTGGGTCTAAGTATGGGTCCAAATTTTAGAGTTGAATGTTTTTTGGGCCCGGGTCCGACCAGATTCGACCCTTTGCCACCCCTTGAAAGTTCCACCATTAGACGAAATGGGATAGAATGGGCTTTATCATATGCACATAGGGCAAGGACGCGAGCGGTATTAACCCTTATGCATACGGCAAGGACGGGAGCGGTATTAACCCTACGTGAAACTTGAAACGAATGTTTGCACTTTTCCCAGATAAATAGGGCAAAGCTTTATCGTTGCGTGTAGTTTCATTACGCGGGCTCTCCTCTCTCTCTCTCTGTCTGTCTCCGATTTAGGGCTCTGATAAGGGTAAAAGCCCAATGCAAAAGCTTCATGGATCGAGTAGAATTGGAGTCTAGGGTTTTCTGAACATTGAAAACACACAGGAAAAAACCCTAGCTGTGCCTATTGTTTGAGGAAACCATGGCTCGAAGAAGAAGAAGCTAGGGTTTTGAAGCCCTGGCCATAAGCAAAACCCTAGAGGAGCCAGTCCCTTTAGTTGCAGGTTTCATGGCGCGTCAAGAGAACTCCTTTGCCCTTTTGGGGGATGATGAGGGCGATGATATGATGGCTCTTGTTGCTAATGCAGCTGCTAAGACAGCGGCCATTGATAAGAAGCAGCTGGAGCAGAATCAATCGGCGGTTTCACCTGCTAAGTTTCCTTCGAAGCCCCTTTCTCCTGCTAAACCTGGTAAACTAGATCCTCTCTATCAAGAAATTCATGGATTCTCCAGCAGTCCTGTTTCCAATTGCTTCGTTTCCCTGATTCTTTCTGGTTTGGCATGTACTTTGAGATGTCATGGTTTCTCAATGTCCTAGTTTTGGTTGTGTTGTGAGTTTGCTGAATTTTAAGAAATTGGGTTTCCTGTTAAAGCTTTAGGGTTTTGGATTAGGTGGATGTGCATATTATGCAGTGCTGTCTTTTTTTGAGGAAATATTATGTAGTGCGGTAATTGTTATGGAAACGAAGATTTCATATTGCATTAAGTATTCTTGATGTGGTTTTTACTATTCTCAGTCGTTTTTGTGGGCAGCTAATGTTCTTCATTTCTGTGATTTTTTCTGGATTGGCATGTACTTTAAGATTTCACGGTGTATCAATGCCCTTGTTTTGGTTATGTTGTGGGTGAATTTTGAGAAATAGGGTTTTCTGTGGAAGTTTAGGGCTTTGGATTATCTAGAAGTGCATATTATGCAGTGCTGTTGTTATTATGGAAACAGAGATTTCATATTGCATTAAGTGTTCTTATTGTGGTTCTTACCAGTCTCAGTCATTTTTATGGGCAGATAATGTTGTTCTCGTTGAAGTTTTGGTCAATTTATATTGATCAAAGTGGTTTCCTAGGGTGTTTGGTTGAATAGTATCTTTGGGTAAATTAACAGGTATATTATTGATTAAATTGAAGGTGTCATAATAGTGGAGATTCTCTGTTTCCATAATTGTTTTGGTGTACTTATTGTTATTTTTTGTTGTTTATGTTATTGCTGAAGTGTTGTTTGTTTTATATTGATCAGAAGGGATATATTGTGTTGTACTATTCCATAATTAGGATTTGTTGAATATCTTAATTTTGTTGTTTCCAAGGCAATGTATACCATAGTCTAATGGACAGTATGTAATAATCTGAAGGGGCCCCATCATCAGGTTCAGATAACAGATGGTGGATCTTAACTTTACCTGAGTATGTAGAGTGGCCCTACTACAGGCAATTTCAACTGTCCATCTTTAATAATGTATGCAGATTGCTCTACTGGCATGCTATAGACCAATCTCACTCTTTGGGAATCTAGACACTGTTTTGTTGAATTGTTTTTTTTCTTTACTTCTTATAAATTTAGTCCCTTTGTTCCTGGAAAATGTTTCTCTTGTACTATTTCTTATTTGTTAGTTTCTCTTAATCTTAATTAATTTTTTTAAGAATTGCTATTTGTGTATTTGGTTTTTTTCCTCTTGCCCAAAGTTTTGTTTGGAAAAGTAAATGCATTTGTTTGCTTGTAGTGCTTTCATGTGACCTGCGATAACATGAGCCCCAATGTATTTTTTAATGGTTTGTGTATCTTAATGGTGTTCCTCGTTAATTTTATGTCAGTGAAAACTGATAGAGGAAGAGGGAGAGATGGCTGGGGCCGCGGAAGGGGTGCTCAATTTGGCAATGATGTATCCACCAATGGTTGGGGAGACGATAGTAATAATGATAGCAATAACACAAATGATGATGGGTTTGTGAGCAGAGGGCGAGGGCGAATGAATGGCTTCCAGAAGGGTCCAGGTGTTGATTTTGAAAGGCACACATCTGAGGATGGTGGGCGTGGTCGGGGTCGCGGCCGTGGTCGTGGTCGCGGCCGTGGCCGTGGTCGTGGATTTGGTGAAGATCGGGGTTTTGGTAGTGAGGGCAGTGGTTGTGGAGGTGGTGAAAATAAGGGTTTTGGTGACGAAAATCAGGGTTCTGGAGGTGAAGGTTGGGTTGATGAAAAGGGTTTTGGAAATGGGAATCGTTATCCAAGGAATGAGAATACGTCTCATGGGAATGGCAATCGGGCATTTGGTGTTGGGGAGAGGGGATACAGTGGGGAAAGACGGGGGTTTAGAGGGGGAGACGGTCGTCGTTATGGTGAAGGAGGAGGTGACGGGGGCGAACATGGCAAGGATGAGGGATGGAACTCCAGTGAGCAGAAGGAAGAACAGGCTGATGTCAAAGAACAGCCTCTGATTAGTAACTCAGATGGTGGGGGTTGGTAAGCTCTGTTTGAACTCTTCCATGTATTTTGAATTGAATCTTTACTTGATAATTGGTTTCTTCCATCTTTTGAATTGAACTTTTGTGTGCTTTAATTAATGCATGCTGGTATGAAAATTAAAATATTGATTGTGGTTAAAGTGTATGACGTTAAGTGGATGCTATGATACATTGATTTGTTTGTTTGGCTGTTTACTTCATTGGTGATTCACTTCGTTGGTTTTGGCTGTTTACTTCATTGGTGATTCACTTTGTTGGTTTTGGCTGTTTACATCATTGGTGATTCACTTTGTTGGTTTTGTAAGCTATGTAAATTTATATGTAGATGAACATGACGGATCATATTCTTATGGATTTATTTCTTTATCTGTTGAACTACCTGTGAAAAGATAAGAGATTGCAAGATATTTAGACAAATCCAATCTCGATAAGAAAACTGTTATGTATTTAGGGAACTACTACATTTTAGAATGCATGCATGCCTTCACTCATTTATTATTTGCTATTTCTAGCCAATTATGCTCTATATGACTTTGACATGAATATCGCTATCTTATGTTAATACCTAATAAGTGTAGCTCCTTGATATGTCCATATAGAACATGCATTTGTTGTATAGAATTTTGCATTAATAATTATAAAAATAAAATAAAATAGAGGATTAAAGATAGTACTGAAAAACACAAACTTCAAGAAAAATATGAAGGATTATTTGTGCCAAAATTTGTGATATGTTAGTGATATTGCAAATGCATTTTATGTTAATTTGTTCTTATTGTTTCAAGTGATGGTAAAATAGTTTTCAAGGTGTGAATATCTAGTCCTAGGTTTTCCTATATTCACTCTTTAATATACATGAGGTCGAAAAAGGGAGGGAAAGTTCTTTGGTTTTTGGGAGCTTCATTTTAGAGAATAAAAATTTAATGTCGGATATAAGGTTATTGCTGGAAGGATGATATGCATGTAATAAATAAGTGATGTTAGGTTGGTTTTGTTGGACTTGATCTCTAGATGACTTTAGGGCCCCCATGCATAAGAAGCACCTTGTGGAACATTGGGTCATGCTCGAAATTCTTCAGATTGACAAGTTTCCTAGTAATTTATTATGAGCCGGGATTGAGTATTCCTTGCATCGAGAATTTTTGAGCTGGATGTAAGTTCTTTGGTCGATTTCTTGTTTGTTAATGGCTTTCTATAAGGTCTTAGATAGAAGAGTAGTTGGCACTTGGAGCTTCATCCAGCTATTTGATGTTCTTATTTTGGTTTTTCATTATTTGAAATGAGCAGGATTGGGAGTGTGAAGGGAACCACAATGGATGTAGGGAGCATTGTCATTTATAAGAGTTAAAATGAAAGTGGCTAGGAAATGAGGTTTGGTATGTAACAATGATGATTGATGATGGAAACAGCTTCTAGAAGTCAGCTATTCACCCAATTATCCTTTTGGGATGATTCAATGCTCCCCTCAAAGATTCAATGTTATTCCTCATTGTTAGGGGTTAGACAAATGATATTTTTTTTTTCAAAATTCATCAATTTTTTAATTTCGTGAAACTTTGATGCCTTCCATATGAGGCATTTCATAAAATCCTATTGAAGAACTATAAGAATAGACCATTGCTTCACAAATTGAAGTGAGTGCTTTGAATTTTGTTGTTACCAATCAAGAATGAGAAAAGAAAGATGTAGTGATGAATTGAGCGGGAGTAGGAGTGGGCAGCCAGGTGAACGAAGCAGGTTTAGGATAGTATTTGGAGGATAAGTTAATCAGTGGCTAAGACACATAGTTTGGGATGTCAGAATGATGGCGTTACAGTTATACACACTTAGTTTGAGATGTCAGAATGATGGCTTTATAGTTATACGCACACACTTTATTGGCCTAAGGAATAGTATAAGCCCGATGGCTTAGATGCAAATTCCTTTGTGTGAATTATAGTTTTTATATACATATGTGTGTATGTGTGTTGTGCGAGTGTCTGTTTATAATAGAAAAAAGATGAGGTACACTCACTTGCGTACCTATCTCATCTTATAAGGCCCTAATTGAAAGTTGCGTTGCTGGATGTCCCATATGTATTTTTTATTTTTTTTATTCAAGGATTAAAAAAGTGGCTCCCCTAATGCCTAGACGTTAGCTGCCCAGGCACTGTAGAGGCTATAGACAGCCTCGCCTTGTCCTGAGCAGGCCTTCCTGGGCGCCAACCTAGGTGGGCCCTCAGTCCTAGGCTGGTGCATAGGAATTGCCATAAAAATGGCGGAAGAAAACCTCTTTGTGTGGGGAATTTGGGTCATTTTAACCCATGAAAAGCAGGAAAGGGGCGTTCTAATCCCCCCAAATTAAAAATGCTCTTCAAATGCCCTAGAAACACCCAAGATCCATCGATTTTACATCGTTTTTTCAAATCAAGAAAAATTTGAAAAGTTTTTAGGATCATTCGACACCTTACCATATCTTATTGGATTCATATTTAGGTTTCATGTGTATTAGAAGACTTTTGGGGTGATTTTGAAATGTGAATCATTGATATGAAGAATTGAAGGTCTCCTCTTTCTTTTTCTTTTTTGTTATTGCATCATTTTCTGGTGGTTATTTGGTGTTATTGGAGACTTGGAGTCGATGAGTATGACTATATGAAGTATGGACTCTGGCGTATGGTGTCATCATCATCAAAGCCTTGTCCCAACTATTTGGAGAACTCTGGATTATGTTGTATGGACATTAAATCAGTAATACACTATGGACTTGTTTATGTTTTTCACTATTTCAATTATTCAAAGAGTCAAAATTTTGAGTGATTTGAATGTGATTAAACATTCATGTGCATATATTTATATAAAAAGGTTAATACATTAAATGAGAAAATATACATATTTGACACATGTATTTTCGTATATGTGTGTTTGGACAACACATATATGCATATATGTGTATATTTGACGTCTCAGGATGCTCGAGGTTTTGAGCGGCCACGTTGGTGGGTGCTTTAGACACCCCCCACCCCCCTGTCGGCCGCTTAACCTTATTTTTTTACGAATTGTTTTTGTATGAAATTTGGGGCTGCCCTCAAAGCAAGTTGCACTCGTTAAACAAAAAAATTCAAAAAACAAATGATAAAGATAATACCCTGAAAAATTTCAGGGTATTTTGGTCCCTATTATATGAAACGTTTTTTTTTTTAAATTTTTCTCGGGTGAATGTTGCTTTTAATGTATCAAAAAGCGCTAGGCAAGTCCTAGGCAGCCTTGGGGGTCTAGGGCACCTAGCGCCTAGGCGCCCGCCCAGTTGAAGTCGAGAAGAGAATTTTGATAATCCATATCGTTAAAACAGTAAACTGTAAAACCATACAAGTGTAGGATATAAAAGTCAACACTCAACACAACATAAATATACAGAAATTGAGAAAATATACAGTCTAACAAAAGTCAACACTTATGACTCAACACAACAGTCAGCAGACTCAATACTCAGCAGTTCTGGGTGGTTGCCCAGTTGAAAAAAAAGTAAAAATCCCAATAAACCATATTCCAAGTTGAAAAAAAGGAAAGAAAAGATAGAAGTCGAGAAGAGAATTTTGATAATCCATATTGTTAAAACAGTAAACTATAAAACTGTACAAGTGTAGGATATAAAAGTCAAAACTCAACGCAACAAAAATATACAGAAATTTAGAAAATATACAGCCTAACAAAAGTCAACACTCATGACTCAACACAATAGTCAACAGACTCAACATTCAACACTCAGCAGTCAGCACCAAGAGGCAAGAGTCTTCAGTCATCTTCGTCATCACCCTCAGAAGGACTATCAATAGGGCAAGCCTTATTACATGCATCAGAGTCGAGGCCATCATCATCCGAGTCATCTCCCTCTTCAATATAATGCTTGTCCTCCTCTGTTTCTTCTGAATCTGCATTTTTCTTCTCCTCATCTTCTACCTTCCTCTTACTAGTATGTGCAGTCTGTGCAAATGAGGCCCTAGGAGTCTTGGCTACTCTACTTTTTTTTTTGCCCTTTTTTGAAATCAAATATTGTATAATTTCCTCCTTGGTAGCCTCAGGAACATTTTTACACGGGGCAACATCCCCCGTCATACCGGCAAGGTGTTTTTTAAATCGGTAAATGCCCCCATTAGTATCCTTTCCACAATAATTATATTTAATACGATTTTTATCACTTGGAATCGGGTTATAACGATACTTCCAATCCGGATCACCACTCCGATAGAAACTAGAGAAGATACTTCTATAGAACAACGCTTATTTTCATCCTTTTTTGGTTCTTCAAAATTCAGAAGATGTCTAATCTCATCTCGAATTGCTTCAGGAACCTTTGTACAAGAAGCAACATTACCTCTAACACTAGCATGGTGTTTTTTGAATCGGCTAATGCCCCCATTGGTATCTTTTTAACAAAATTTACACCTTATGCAATTTTTATCATTTGGTTTTGGGTTGCACTCATACTTCCAATTCGGATCACTTTTTTAGGAGTAGCAGAAATAGATCTATGACAAGGATTTTGTTCTTGTTTTTGTTTTCCACAACTTAAAAATTGCTTAATCTCCTCCTTAACAGCTTCAGGAACATTTTTATAAGGGGCAACATCCCCTTTAATATCGGGAAGATGTTTCTTAAACCGGTTTATGCCTCCTTTTGTATCTTTTTCACAAAAATTGCATCTAATGCGATTTTTGTTATTTGGATTCGGGTGGTATCTATATTTCCAACCCGGATATCCACTCCGACTAACTCCTGAAGAAGACATCTCAAAATAAAACAAACAATCTAAAAAATGCACTTATTTTGGTTGCTTGAACACCAAACTTTGAGAAACACTTCGATGATTCGATCTAATGAAATGTAGTTTCTTGGAGGTTTTTGTTACTCTAAAAGGGGTTCTGGTGGGTTTAGGGTTCAAATGAACCTAAAAGCCATCATTCTTAACTTTTATATCTTTGAAAAGAATGAAAAAAAAAAAGAAAAAAGTTTTCCCCC